GAGGAGGAGGAGGGAATAAGGACCGGTTCGATGGTCAGTCAATCACGGCGGCGGCTGCGTCGTCCGTCGCCCATGTAGGACCGGAGCCGGTCGACTCACAAGCCTCGACAGATGCGCTGGACGAAGCGGAGACAGGCCGAGGGTTGCGCGACAGTCATAGCGGCGGTCGATGATGTTGTGGTGGTGGTGGTGGTGGTGCTGGTGTCGTCGCTGCTGCTGCTCGACTTGACTGACCGACATCGAGCCGTGTGTGGAGTCTATCGTCGTCTGGCCTGCCTCGACCCGCTTCTTCCGAGACCCGGCATCTCGGTGCACCCGAAGGCCCACAGCACAAGCAAGCAGCCACGGCGGTACCGAACCGTTCGGGTCAGTTGCCCGACCGACCGCGCCAGGCGCCGGGTTGAAGGCCGACGAGGCAGCGAGCGGGACGAGCGAGCCAGGGTCCTGGCTTTGCTCCCCGCCTGTTCCCTAGGCCTCTCCCCCCCACCTTAGCCTGCTGGCCTCGGAAGACCCGCCATCCCATCGGCTTTCTACCTACAATCCGCCCGCTCTCGTCCAGCTGGCCGCCTGCGTGGCCTGGCACAAGAGCAACCACACAGGCCCAGGCTCGACGGGACAAGCCGGCCTGCCTACGTACCTGCTGGCGGCAGCAGCAGGGTCGAGACAAGCTCAGCTCGCAACCACGTCGCCTCGGCCCAGCTCCGCCTGTCCCCTATCTGCTCCTCTGTGGCGCGGACCCCTCTCGTCGTACGTCTTCGAGAGCGTGGGGGGGATGGACTGGCACCACGCACCGACAAGCCAGCCCTAGCCTGCCGTCGCTACGCTAGGCACGCTTAGAGGGCCTTGCTTGGCCTCCCTGCCTGCCCTTGTTCTTCGCATGGCTTGGCCTGGCCTGGCCTGGCCTCGCCGCTTCTTCTCTCGACCAGAGGGCAGCCAGCCAGCCAGCCGGCCATCGACGTGGGGGAACGACTCTTCGAAAAATTCGCTAGATGGCCTGCTGTCCCCCGCTCTGCCTTTCTGGCTTGCTCGCTCTCCACACGCCCACCTGCTGCAGCCGCTGCCGCCGCTGCCACGCTGCCACGCTGCCAGGCCGCCCGCCGCTGTACCGCTTGCTTCCTTCTAGGGCCCAAGCTCGTCTTTCCCCCGCATTCATCGTCGTCAGAGCATCACGACGACCGCAGCCAGGCAACAGGCAGGCAGGTCAGGTCTTGTCAGGCATGCGGCTGGGCTCGTACGTCGCTCTTTGCCTCTGTGCTTGCTTGCTTGCTCATGCGACCGAGCGGTCCCCTGCCTCCTCTGATCCAACATGGCCTTGGCCGTCGCCAGCAGGCCGTGCCTCTCCGTCTTGGCCTGGCAAAGCTCGTTTGGCGGTGCTCTGACCTGGCCTGGCCTGCCCGCCCGCTCGCCCACGTCGGCATCTCTTGTCGTTTGGCGCGCGCACTCAGCCTGCAAGGCCTGCCAGCCTGAGGCTTGCCGGCGACGCCGGCCAACGTCTATGTAGGGCGACGGCGGGCTTGCGTTCTCGCCGGCCGGCCCTCGATCCGAATCCGAGGGTGAAGCACCCTCGTATCGCCCACGCTCTGTCTGCTGCAATCAAGGGGAAGCGCGACACTCTTGTTCCATCTCGAGGGAAAGCAAGCAAGCATGGCGAGGGGCGGCAGGACCGAAATCAAGCAGCAGCAACCAACCAAGTTGGCCCGCGCGGGCTGGGCCAGGCCACCCTCGACCGGCGACGACGGCGGCGGCGGCGGCGACAACGACAACCCAGCACAGGCTATAGGCTAGCCAAGGCGACGGCGTGCGTGGGTGTGGGCCCCACGCCCCCCCTCTCTGTCTCCCTTCTGTCTCTGCCGTCTGCCTCCCCCCGCTCTCTTAGCTTGCTGTCACTTCGGGTGCACTCTCGCCTGGCGGGCCTCGCATCGCCCCGCCCGCCTGCCTGCCCGCTCATCTTAGGGATCCCCGCCCCTTCCCCCGCGCTCCGCTCTGCTCCTCGTCGATAGCCTGCCTGGTACCGCACCC